TTCTGTCAAATGCTAAGGTCTCGTGGTTTTTTTATGGCTGAGGAATATTCCAGGATGTATATGTGCCACATTTTTTCAACCCATATATCTGTTCATGGACATTTGCGTTGGTCGCATGTCTTATCAATTGTGAATAATGTCAGTAATGCATGCTTTCAAAATTTGGTGGAGGTTTTTGAGTTCTGTCAAAGTTTCTGCTAAACCCTTCACAGATAATTTTCTTAAAGGTTCTCTTTTTCTCATGTAGTTTCCTTTTCTCTTGCTCCTTGGTCAGCTATGCATTCCTTTTCAAATTCCAACACCTCCTTGTCAGTCAATTTCTCAGGAACCACATCTAGAAGTCCCTCAATATTACCCCTCATCCACACCCAATTTGAAGTCATTTGTCATCTCAACCATAGCTTTTGAGAGAGAGAGAAAGGGATTTTTGCTATAGGGTACATGTGCTTGTCAGAGGGAGACATAGAGACAGAAAGTGAGAAATCACCTCTCGGGGGATGGCTATACCACAATCCCTATGAAAAATCACACCTCCCCCAAGGTCGATGACCACGCTGCAATTCCTTCTCCTCAATTCTTCTCTTGGGATTTTGGGCATGCATGTAAATGCATACTATGTTTTTTAAAGCTGCCAGGTCTGAGACTCAAACCATTGTCAGGCTATGTGAGAATAGCACTTTAACCACTACACCACCTGCTGCCTTTCCTAGTCATAGAGTTTTCAACCTTGTACTCATATTTATTGGAAATTGTTCGGGGTACTTCTACAAAGAAGTGACATTTGAAAAACAAACAAACAAAAAACCCAGAGACACAGACATTTGAAAAGGGAAGGAAAACTGAGGCTAAATGTCCATTGTGAATGTCCTACACATGGGGGCTGAGGTGACATGGGAGCCACTGGAGACTCCCAGGTATTCAGGAGGGACAGTGTGTTGTGATGTACAAGGATCCATGCCAGTTTGCTTTTCCTTTTCTGCACACACACCTGGTACATACACATGCCCATGAGTCTGGTTGCTGTGGCCAGGGGTGAATTACTGTATGAAGACCCTTTGAGGTTGGCCTGGTTTGTGGCATGGTGGTTAAGCTGACTGTGTCCCCCATGGCCAACTGCACAGTTCAATTCCTGGACCAGATGGCTTGAGGAACATGCTAGACGTGTATACATGCATGTCCCAGGTCCCAAGAGGAGGGAGAAATGGAGGAGAAAAATTGTGGCATGATTATCCATGTAGTGGGGAGAAGGAGAAGCTTTCTCATTTTTCTGTCTCTCTATATCTCTCTGGCAAGTGCACACACTCTCCTACCAGTCAGGTTTCCTGATTGCTAAGTCCTTATTTATACATAACAAATTTTTTTCCAAATATAAAATGCATTGAAATTTTTTTTCACAATCACTGTATCATTACAGCACACCAAATTAATTTTCCCATCATGAATACACTGTGTATTGGTTCAGTCAAAGATACTATCATACACATTATAATAAAATTTCTTTCCATTTGGGATTCCTTAAATGTTTTGCTTCTTAGTTCTTTCCTTGATTCTTCCCTCTCACTCTCTGCCATTTTCCACCTTCCTCCCAAACTGCTCTCCATGGTTTTATACCATCCAACATTTCAGTTTCTTCCACAGTGTGTAGACACTTGGTTTATATTGAGTGGGAACATACAGTGTCTCTCTTTCATAGCCTGGCTTGCTTCACTTAGCATTATTAACAACTGTGGTCACCATTCAGTGAAATAGATCACAAATATCTACTTTTTTTAAAAAATTTTTTTGCCACAGGGTACCTATGTTTTCCTCAGGGAGACAGAGGCAGAGAGTGAGAGGCAAAGCAAGAAACAACACTCCAGGAGGGATGGCCACACAACACTCCCTTCTCTCCCATTCTTCTGTCAGGACCCTCAGTATGCACACACATATGCCTGGTATGTCTTTTTTTTTTTTTTTAAGAGGTATTTGTTATAGGGCGCATGAGCTCACCAGAAAGACAGAGAGAGACAGAGAGATAGAAAGTGAGAAATCACCCCCCCCCCAGGGGGCATGGCCATGCCGCAATCCCTTCTTCATTCTCCTTTTGGGATCTTGGGCACGCACGCACACATGCCCGGCTTGAGTTTAAGCCACCGGGTCCAGAACTGGAACCGCAGTCGACTACATGGGAGTCCAGCAACATAGCCATTACGCTAACTGCCGGTCCCTGCCTGGTATGTCTTTGAAGAAGTCACGTCCAAGACTCAAATCACAAAGTTTGCCATGCAAGATTCACCACCTCGACCATCACATCACCTGCTGGCCCAAGAACTTTGTACCTTTTGATCCATATCTTTCCCTTCCTCATCTCTCCATTATCCCCCAGCCTCTGATAATCACCTTGCCACTCTCTGTTTAGATAAGATCATCTTTTTTAGATTCCACCTGTGAGATCACATGGCATTTATTTTTCTGTGTCTAGCTTACTTCACTTAGCGTGATGTAATGCAATTGGACCGACATCAGAAAGATCCTGGGTTCATGTCCTTAGATTTCCCTGAGTACACTGGCCATGTACATGTTCCCATTAACCAAGCCAGTGGAAATTGGGAATGGATCACACTTGAGAACTCTGTTGGAATGTCTCTCTATATCTTTCTTTCTCTCTCTCATTGATGAAATAAATAAGCTTTAGAAACAAGGGAGACTCTAGCATTTTCACAAACTGAATATTCTCCAAGTAGCCAGAACTCATATTGACTTTCTTGAGGGACACTGGTATATACAAAAAGGATAGTCTTCCTACTGATTCTGTCCTCAAGACTAGGTTATAAATTTGATGAACCCAGTTTTTATTCTTCCTTCTTGAATTCTTCTACCATCCTCCCAGCCACTTATCCTTCCATCAAGTTAGTTTTATTCAAAGCCTAAAACTAAAGGACTTGTCTTGGTTAAGTTTCTGTAATTGCAAAACCTCAGATTGGGTCTGAAGGGCTGGCAGGTGGTGTGGTGGTTAAGGCACTGGATCCCACATGTCCAACTCTGTAGTTGGATTCCTGGACATGGCGGCCTGAAAAACATGCCCAAAATTCTGCAAGGAGAATGGAAGAAAAGGGATTGTGGCATGGTCATTTTCACTGGGTCGTGATTTTTCAAATTCTCCCCCCCTCTGTCTCTCTCTGTTGAGCTTACACACCCTCTAGCTAAATTAATTAATTAATTAATAGAATCAAGATAATTTAGCTCATGAATGGACACCCAAGGTTCAGGAGTCATCTTCCAGTGAGGCTACAACGTGGTGGTGAGCAGACTGTTAAGCAGTGGCTGTTCATAGGTTTGTCCTTGTTCTGGTCTGCTTTCAGATGGCCTTGACCTGCTTCATCCTTCCTCCAATGGAACTCATTCACAAGGCCTCCAATTTAATGATCTTTTTCCCACCCAAATGCACCACTTTGAGACACCATGAGGGGATTAAGTTTTCACTTAACACTTTAATAATACAACCAAGTCCCAACATGAACTTTTGGGGAAGACCCACTCACTGATCACTAAGACTAAATTCCAAAATGTGAACTGTTAGGGGACAAACCATACCTAGAGTATATCAACCAGTTAAGGTGGCGATATAGAAAATAAAACTATGTGTTAAGGATGATATGTGTGATGACTTATTGACTGGATTGACTGGACTAATATGTAGTGTATTTATGCTGGGAACATTACTTTTGTATGGTGCAAAACATGCAGTAATAAGATGTTAATAAAAATTAATTAAAATTATTTTAAAAGAAAGTAATTATGAAAGAATAAGTAAAAATCTGTAGTCTCCGAACATACTGTAAAATAATTTAAATGTTCTTAGTTGCCAAGTGTACTTTTTTCCATAAGAATAATACATGTAACCAACCCAAATGTCCACATATAGATGAATGGAATAAAAGAGCATAGCACATATGCTCTGTGAAATACTATTCAGCCATAAAAAAAAAGACTCTGGCATTTGATAGAAAGTGGACAAATATGGAAGATTTATTGCTGAGTGAAGCAAGTCTGGCTATGAGAGAGAGACATTGTATGTCTCCACTTAACATATACTGACTGTCCACACTCTATGGTAGAGACTGAAAGACTGGAGGGTATAAAAGCATTGAAAATTGTTATGGATACTAAGGATGAAGTGGAAGGAGAGTGAGAGAGGGGGAGAGGGTAGAGAAGGAAATTTGGAAGGAAAAAGTAGAAAGGTAAGACATTTGTGGGACACAAATGGTTAATTATCTGTTGACAATGACATGTATAATATTCTCAACTGGAATGGTCTGAGGTGTATTTCTTTACAATCTAAATGATGTATAACGATCCAATGTATAAAGAAGAGGAAGAAGAAGAAGAAGGAGAAGGAGAAAGAGAAAGAGAAGAAGAAGAAGGGTATAACAGTTGGGGTAAGCAGGTTTGGTGGTGGTTATGGTGATGGATTTCCATATGGCTGACAACAATTCAAGTCCTGGACCTAGAGACTTGCTCGCTCTCTCTCTCTCTCTCTCTCTCTCTCTGTCTGTCTCTCTCTCAGGTCAAATTATAAGTGAATAAATAAATCTTAAAAACCAATTTAAAAATAAGAATAGTCCAACTGTCAAATATTTCTTCAGTAAAATTTAAGAAAAAGGAAAACAGTTTAATGAAACAAACTGCCTGTGAAGAAATATTTCTTTAAAAAGAAGAGTTGAGATTTCACACACCAGAAATTCATGTTTTTCTGTGAAACAAGTGAGAATTTCCGAACATTTCTAATCCAACGCTGGAAATAACCTTGAGAAAGGAGGAAAATAACAATGGAGGAAATTGTTAGACAAAATAAAAAGACAAAAGTCTAGTCAAGTGAGCTGCTTAAATAGTAGAGAGAAGTGAAAATCAAAGAAATGGAAACTACAGAAAGTAAATAGAAGGCCACAATCTGACCCAACAATCACAATTTCTGGCTCCAAGGCTTTAAACCTTATTTCTTCTATCTCAGTATAACTGACTCTTCCACAGTTTCCCTTCCAGAGTGTCTTTCAGAGCCCTCTTTATGTCTTTATTCCTCAGACTGTAGATGAAGGGGTTCAGCATGGGGGTGACCACAGTGTACATCACTGAGGCTGCTGCACTTGAGTGTGAGCTGTGGGCAGCAGAACTAAGGTACACTCCTATGATTGTACAGTAAAATAAGGAGACAACGGAGAGGTGAGAGGCACAGGTGGAAAAGGCTTTATACTTCCCCTGAGCTGATGGGATTGTACGTATGGAGGAAACAATTTTACAATAAGAGTAAAGGATCCCAGCAAGGGGACCACCAGCCAACAGCACAGTTGCAAAATAGATGACCATGTCATTAAGAAAGGTGTCAGAGCAGGCAAGGTGGACCACCAGATTAAGTTCACAGAAAAAGTGGGGGATTTCTGAGTGTGTACAGAAGGACAGCCGCAATACCTAAAAAAGAATGCAGGGCACTGATAATGCCAGAGACCAGAATCAACTGTCCACACAGCCGGGGGTTCATGATAACCACGTAATGTAAGGGGTGACAGATGGCCACGAACCGGTCATAGGCCATCACTGTCAGGAGAAAGTCATCCAGCCCTGAAAAACACACTGTGAAGAACATCTGGGTTATGCAGCCTGCATAAGTAATAACTTTGCTCTGTGTCTGGATGTTCACCAACATCTTTGGGATGCTCGTGGAGGTGTAACAGATGTCTATGAAGGAGAGAACTGAGAGGAAGAAGTACATGGGTGTGTGCAGGTGAGAGTCTGATATTGTGAGCAGGATGATTAGCAAGTTTCCAAACACAGTGATCAGGTACATGGAAAGGAAAAGCCCAAATATGAGGGGCTGCATTTCCAATTGTTCTGAAAATCCCCGAAGAAGAAATGTTGAAATTTGTGTACCATTTCCTGCTTCCATGTGGTGGAGATGACTACAACAAAGAGAAAAATAACAAGACAGATTTTCACAGAGGTGGATATTACATCATTGAAATGCGACAGTTTGCATTTTAAAGTCAATACATTCATTTTTATTTTAGGTGTATGAATGGGGTTGCCTTTTGAGGATTCTTTGTTCTATCTCATTATTTATTCCCATCCACCCTTAGCCTCATCCACCCCACATGGTCATTATTCCACAGTTTTAAAAATTTTTGTTCTTTTTTGTTATTTTTTCCCATAGGGTTTGTGCACTCACCAGAGAAAAAGGGGAAAGAGAGAGAGAGAGAAACCACTGCCACAGAATGATAGCTAGCCATACCATACCCTTGCTCCTCCATTCTCCTCCATCCTCCCCATTGTGAATTTCAAGCCTCCAGATCAGGGACTCAAACTGCCATGTGAGAGTCCAGCACCTTGATTGCCATGCCACATGCTGACCTCAGCAACCGAACTATTGTAAACTCTAATATCCTCACCTATGTAGTGGGGATAATGGTACCCATCCTTCTAAATTGGTCAACACATATCATCTCAATACATATTTAAATACACTTTAGTAGTTCTTTTCTAAATAAAGGTTTACCCCTGGTGAGAAGATGAAGCTGATATTTTTCTTCTGCCTCTCAAACATCTTCATTACTGCTCTACCACATAGTTCTCAGCCCCATAGCCCTATATCAATGTCCTTTGTCTTCTCCAGCTATCCTAAAGTGTTAGCTCTTCAGCTCAATACTCACATTGACTCAGAGAGGGTTTTCTGAAATGATTACCCAAACTTCCTTCTTAATTCATCCTTATTCTTGCATGACTCCCAGCTGGAGAATGAGGTAAAATTCAACAGCTTCAAACAGCAGGCCATCACTATCCCAATTCTCCTCAATAGTAACAACAAGTTCAACAATTTACTGTTCATCAAAATTAAATTAAAAAGAAAAATAGGCAGACTTCTGGCCAGTCAGTGATCCTGAGGCAGGGACATCACTGCTCCCTCACCTCACCTGCAGACCATCAGCCCAAGCGTCCACCCCCTAAGAGAAGTCTATTCCTCCATGTTGTACACTGTAAGGATATACAGTGATTAAATATAAATAAAAATTTTTAGGGACCAGCAGTTAGCGTAATGGCTATGTCGCTGGACTCCCACGTAGTCGACCGCGGTTCGAGTCCCGGACCCAGTGGCTTAAACTTACGCCGGGCACGTGTGCGTACGTGCCCAAGATCCCAAGAGGAGAATGGAGGAGAAGGGATTGCGGCATGGCCATCCCCCTTGGGGGGTGATTTCCTGCTTTCTCTCTGTCTCTCTCTGTCTGTCTGGCGAGCGCACGCGCCCTAAAAAAATTTTTAAATCTCTATGGCAGTCATGACTTCAATTTTTTTTTAAAAAAAGAAGGTCCAACAGGTGGTGTAGTGGTTAAGGTGTTGTATTTTCATGTGGTCAACCACAATTCAAGTCCTAGTCTTGGCAGCTTGTTGTGTCACTTTCCCTCTCTCTCACTGTCTCTCTCTCTCGTGAGTATATGGGCCCTATAGCAAAATGACATAATCATAATGAAAATTAAGTAAGTAATTATTTAAAAAGAGGAGTTCATTCCTAATACAAAGTAATGATGAATATGTGAGACAATAAATACACTAATCACCCTCAGTCAGTACACATTGCTTTTTTTGTTTTTTTTTTAACTGTGCTCACCAGTGAGAGACAGAAAGAGAGAGAGAGAAGGAAAGTGAGAAATCACCCCCTCATGGGGATATGGCCATGCTTCAATTTCTTCTCCATGGGAATTTGGGTACACATACCTGATATGTTTTTCTTTTTTAAAAATTTATATATGTTTTTATTATTCATACATTAAATCACTATACATCATTTAGATTGTGAAGAGACTTTATGCAGTATGATATTTACCTCAGTCCAGGCCAGTTGAGACCACTGTACACATCCTTGTCAACAGATAATAAACCTTATCCATATCCCACAAGTGTCTTACCTCTCCATTTTCCCATTTACCTTTCCCTCCATTTCCTGCCTGATGTGCTTTTCTTTTTTTTCTTTTTTTTTTTTTTTTGCATTGAAAGTTTGTTTTTTTTTACTTCGAAAGTTTGTTTTTTATTTAGTCCCACCCACCCAACCCTGCCTTCTACTGTCCATCAGACCATCAGCTCCACGGAGGCAGAGATAACCCCTCGCTCCTTCCCATTCTCTGTTTTAATTCTTTCTTGCATTTGTTTGTCTTGGACCACTTAAGTGTGCTTCTTCAGAAACTACAGTCTAGTTTTGCTCCTTTTCTTTTTATTCAACATCTCCTACACCTTTTTTAATCTGCAACTTCCTCCTCCATCCCCTTTTGCCTGATGTGCTTTTCAAGTCACTGGACCCAGGACTTGAACCATCCAGTCAGCCATATGAGATCCAGCTGCCTTAACCACCATTCCACCAGTTGGCCTTACATAGTCTCTTTTTTTATTACACATGATATTCTTGCACTAAAAATTTACATCGCACTCCACAAATATGTACCATTCTAATACATTAATTTAAAAAAAAGTCTCAATTCTCTGTGACAAATTATTCTCTTACCCTTACACTGCCCCTTCTCCGCCCACACAGATCTCCCAAACTTGAATTTGATTTTCAGCTTCAGGAAAAGTCAGAGCTTTAATGTTTGCCTTTATGTGTCCACTCCCCTCTGCTTAGAATTTCTCTCACTAGTCTATTTGAAATATTTTATCTGTAATCCATCTAAATAACTTCATTTACTCTTTCAAGACTCCCTGGTCAGCTCCTTCATAAATCATTTTTTTTAAACATTCCCACAATTTGACACTTCTTGCATGCACTTTATTTAAACATAGAGACTCTAATGTTATTGCTTTTACTCAATGCCAAATCTTTTTTCTCTGATAGGCTGGGATTGCCTTAGCACAGCTACATCCTCCCTCTGCCTCCACTTAGATCAGCTGGGAGGAGCTGAATAAATACATTTTGTTTGAACAAATGAGAGACTGTGATCTCACAGAAATGCATAATGATGTGAAAGAAAAGAAGGAGAAAGGCACTAAAGCAGTCATGAAAAATATGCTAAAATGTAAAAAGAAGGTCAGTCCCTGTGAAGGAGGGAGAAGCAGCAGGGATGAAGAGCCCAAGAGAGGAAGCAGGTTGTGGAGAGAATGAGTATCCAGCCTGGGTGTGGGGTGATCTCAGACTCAGGGCCACACACTGAGAAAAAAAAAATTTTAGAAGTTTTTTGTTTGTTTTTGTTTGTTCTCCTCTAGTCTCCTCTCCAGATTTGGAGCACGCATGCACACGTGCCCAGCATGAGTTTAAAGCTGCCTGATATAGGACTCAAACCACAGTAACCCATGTGGGAGTTCAGTGATGTAACCATTACACCAGATGCTAGTCCCAAGACTTTATTTATTTCTTTATTTACTTTGGTTACATATACATTCAATCACTGTACATCACAACAGCATGAAAACGAATTTTCTTAGCATAAATATACTGCACACTAGTATATTTAAAGATATTACCATACATGTTTTCATCCACAATCGTCCATTTCCGTATTACTTAAGTATCTTGTCTCTATATTTGTCTCCTGGATTCCCTTCCTCATACCTTCCCACACCTTCCACCCTCTTCTCACACTGTCTCCACGATCTGAGAACTTTCGCTCCACTTCCCTCATTCACGGCATCACCATATCAGCCCAGCCCCTGCTGCAGTCATTATTCTTGTAACAATTCCATATGTATCTGACCATATTTGTTTTCATATGGTCCAATAGCAGATGAGGTAGGCCATTTTCTCACTTTCTTTTGCAGCAGTTTTTTTTTTTTTTTAATTATTATTGTTGTTATTTTTTGGCTTTTCATTTTTATCTTTAAGGGCAAAGCAAGCCTTTTTAATTATCTAAGCAACAGTGGGGAAGGGTACCTCATATGACCAACAGATACATAAGGCCACGCAAAATGATAAACTTTAACATTCCCTCCAAGTACATCTAAAAATGGAGGAGAAGGAGGAGGAGAAGAAAGAGGAGAAAAGAAGAGAAGGGAAGAAGAAGGAGGAGGATGAGAACTAAATGTCAAACAGTAGGGTTGATTAAAAAAAAGGAAAAAAATTCAGTTTTTATGTTTGGAAGAATGCAATGAAGAGTAGGAATAAAAAGGTTTCAAACTCACTGTACAAAAGTGAAGATCTCACACAAATAATTGGCTATAGAGAAGGGCAATGACTAACACACTCACAAATATATTCAGACTCACAGTCAGGATATAATTATAAAGAAATGTGGTTATATCTGTTGAAGATATTCTACAGTTTTATCAACTGAACTAGGGAGAAATGTTCACATGTCGGAATAGTCACTTTGTAAGATAAATAATATGATTCATTGTATAAGAGAAAATGAAATTAAAAAAAAAAACAAGAAAAAAATTTTAATAAAAGCAAATGCTTGTTATGACACCTCTTATCACCTATTAAATAAACATTTACTTATCTGAATACCCAATATGAGAAAGATAATGCAAAATATATGACTCATGAGATGCTGTTGCAAGATAGTATTGTCAAGCAATCCATTGGTCTGGATCTTTTTTCCCCACTTTGGCTAGAGGGCATGTGTGATCACCAGAGAGAGAAATGGAAATAGAGAGGGAAAGTGAGAAAGCATTTTGCCCCATAGGTAATGGTCTCATGACAGCCCTTTCTCCTCCATCCCTTTTCTCTTTAAGGATTTTAGGTGCACACACACACACCCAACATGTTTCTCAAGCCACCCATAACAGGACTTGAACTGTGCAGTCAGCCATGTGGGATTCTGCTGCCTTTACCACCAGACCATGGATCCAACCCAGTCTGGGCCATAACTA